TATCCGAGGCCAACGACTTTTTGGCTGCATAATGATCAACGTGGAACGCGCCCAGTCAGGTTCAATCCGTCAACATAACTACGGATACGCCGAGCATGTTACCTCCAGATCTAACCTTCTTATAACCCTTCGTTACCTTCCCAGAGCTTCATTTGAAAACCTCTGGGAATGATGATTATGTTTTATCACCAAAAAGAATACCATCCACAATTGCTCTCAGTAATTATCTTACACGAATCTGTTTTCAACAACGCGACCATTGCGTGTTAAGAGAAGTGGCCAACACAAGTCGTCAGCTCCCAAAAGACTCTTCCTATTTTCTTCACCGTCCTATTCACAGAGTTAAAGAAGAGAATTGTTTCTGAGGTTATCTATAGTGAGGGGAAAATCGCTTCTGCGTGAGAGCCGGCAACTGGGTAATTTCTATCATTTTTCCACATTATTTTGTCGTCATGAATAAATAAAGGCTTCCGCCTTACGAGATGCATTACTGGAAAATGACGCCAGAAAGGATATCATCAAATGTTATAAACTCTGAGGGAAGTTTATTTTATTTTTTTTACAGATACGGCAGCTGTGTTGTGTTGACAGTAGATCAAAGGGTTTAGAATCGAGTAGAGAAGTAGAATTATGGAGTATTATCCTATAGCAGCTCTCGAACGGGACAAATGTCCTTGGAGTGGATGTGTTACGTTATAGTAGTGACATAGGAATAAAATTGCACGATTATATAGCACTTTTGTGCTGTAATGGTCCTATTATTTCTTGCTCGATCAACACATTAACAAGTCAGCCTAATTCAGCAATTTTCCTATTTGTATTTAAAGAAAAACAAATGTACTGTACTATGTTAAAGGTGTGCAGAACCTAGGACTTTGTTCCTTCTTTGATTTTTTTTAAATCTTTTTTTTTTCTTATTTTACTCCATTTGTTGTTATGTACCAGTGTGAACTAGTTTCTAGTATACGAGTGTCTGTCTCTGTTGGTATATTGGTCACCTTGATCGGCCACTATTGTGGATCAGTCTGATGAACTATTTGTTTTACAGCTCATTCGTTAGTCTAGACCACTTTAAAGGTATATCAAGTAAAATATTCTGGATGAGGAAATCTGTCTGATATTGACATTTAGTGCCATTTCTTAGCAGATTTTCGTCGTCATTTTTATACTTCAAGCATTTGAAGTGAAGTAGCCCTAAAGCAAGCTACGTAAAGAGTCACTTTTTTTGGTAGCCACGGTACAAACTGAAACAAACAACCGTATTCTGTAAGTGACATTGTATTTTTGTCCCACAGATACCAGTATTCTATGGGATTGAATTGACTTAACTTGCTAGAGAAATAATGACTTTGAAAATCCAGTTTTGCTGCTCTGAAATTGCATTGGATGCCTTTAAAAGCATTTTTCCTTTTTGGACTACGAAATTTGGGACGTTGTTCTCAAGAAACTCGTTGCAAAGAGGCATCAGATGCTTACCATCAAAACTTGTTGATATACAGACAGTGTTGGTCGCTTCTCGCGGTACAACTATCAAAATTATGACGCCAATATTGTTACTTCGGGGAAGGACGCATCACTATGGAATAAGCTACCACCTGAATGTTTCCCATATGGGTATAACCTTAAACTTTTCAAGTCTAAGGTCAACAAACATCTGTCCTCACTGTCTGTACATACAGTAACCCAAAACATTTGAGTGGCTCTCATGAGCCTTGTTTTGTGGTGAACATGAAGTAAATAAAAGAAGGCATCTTTCCGCGGAAGGGTTCTGTTTCGGTTATGTTTGTGTGTTCGCAGCTGTAGCTCTCGGTGGGTTTAACGGATTTCTTTGATTTTCAGTATGCAATTAGTTACTTGGGTTCAGATGATGAGGATTTTTTTTATGTATCTGTATTTTCAGGTTTAAAAAAATAAGTCATGTATGTCTGAAATTGTCATGCAGTCCTTGTAAAGTTCGGAATCTCATATTACTTGTAATTGTGTAAATGTACAGTAGGTCTAGTTTTTTATAGACAGTAATGATTTCTATATGGTATGACTTGTACATAAATTCTTATGTATTCTTAAACTTTAAGAAGTATGAGTTACTCACTTTGAGGCGGCATAACTTGTTGCGAATGGCGAAGTCCAAATAACAGCAACAAAATAATCTTGTCTCAAATTGATAGACTAAACAAACACACTGATAGTTGTCTTTATTCATTATCATGTAACCGTTACTCTCTTCAACTCTCCAAGCAGAGGTTCGAATTCAGGCTTCAGATTCCCAAGCTTTGGACATTTAAATGAGGTGGAAAAATTCAGATTACTTATGAAACTTGACAAATCATGTATTATTGGTTCCATATGCTCGTACATCTATAACTGCGTCAAGGAGCGAGAAGAAGTTGAACATGTAAATAGTAGATTACATTAGTATGTATAGTTTAAGTGCAATTGCTGTATCCTTTTCCTTGTCTACCCATGACCTGTACTTAGCTTGTAAGAGCACAAATGTACAATAAAGGTCATTCATTTATTATTTTTGAGCGTTTGACGCATTTTATTGGGCTTTACTGGTATCTTTTTTTAGCCAGCCGAAAACAGCGCTTTGGGTGGCGTCTTGAATACTGCCCTGCAAATAATACTGTCTTACCAATTTGATACTGTCACATTCACAGCAAGGAAACGTCTTGCCACTTCTACTGAAGCAAATCACCCTTTCTTCCTCCATTCACCACCTCTTAGGAGGAAGTTCCACGCTGAAAGCTTCATTCCCAGAACAACATCAATTTGGAATAAGCTACCTCGTGATTGTTTCCCTTATGAGTATAACCTTAAACTCTTCAAGTCTAAGGTCAACAAACATCTGCCCTCGCCTACTGTTCTGTAACCCAAAACATTTTGAGTGGCTCCCATGAGCCTTGTTTTGCGGTGTAATGAAGTAATTTCAGCCACCAAAAGATTTGCTCTCTACATTTACACTTTTCTTAAGTTCTCCCTTTTCTTTTGCAGCGTCACTAAGTCGTGTGAAAAGTCTGCGTATCGCCCTGGTAACTTTCTTCTTCTTCGTTCTACTCCAAATTTCTGCTCCGCTGTCGAGTGATAGATTGTTCTGTCTTAGGAAATACGGCCCTCCATGTAGCAAGCGGAAACGTACCTGGATTTCCCGGCTGCTATTCATCATTAACTCGTGGAGAAAGGCAACTACGTTGGGACAAAAGTAAATTACTGTTGGGGATAAGGAATGACGATTATAGCTGGAGAATTGACGACGGTTACCTCGCTCATAAATCTACCCCAGCAACTTGTCTTCAAGTTCCCGAAGTTTAGACGAACCACCGCGCCGGGGGAGGTGGTATCTCCGTTTCCAAGTTGTTCCAAGTCTCGGGGGTCTCTTTAAGATGCGATTTGATGGAAATGCCAAGAAATCTCCCCAAATTGTGTCATTTCAACTGTCGCCGGGCGGTCCTCCCCTAGTTCTGTTATTTGACACAAGAGAGAAGCAGCGCTAGTTAACTACATAACGCGTAATGAGTAAAAATAACCGGGAAACCAAGATTTAGTGCTCTGTTCTGGAGC